ACTCTCTCATCTCGACCTACATTTTTTTTTTTTTTTCTGAGGCTCGGCTAACGACGTTCTTATCGTCTCGCGTCGTTCGGAAGTGTTACGTGACAAGCTATAATTTCGCGAAGTGTTCCACTTTCGTGCCGCAAATGATCCCGGTATATGCAATACTATTTCGCCGCGACGAGGGTTGCGTGAACCTCGCTGCGTTTGCTGCGCCACTTACGCGTCCGCGCGCATTTAAGACGCGATTTATTCAACCGCTATACATAACGCAGTTCCGATCCGGAAGCGCTAACGATGTGCAGCTGTGATGTAACGCACGATGTTTTGGCTTAGGATCAGAGTTAATGAGGAATTTTTTTTTTTCTGCGTTAACGTGCTGCGCTGTGTGGGCGTATTCAGAAGGTGAAACCACTGCAATACACAGCGAAATGGTGACCGCAACGAAGGAGCTTCTGCTTTCTACGTGAGAGCATCGTTCAATGGGCGTCAACAAATAAGAAAAGAAGCTGTGATTATCGCAAAAGGCTTCGAATGTACGGTTAAAAAAAAATCACTGAGTAGTTCTGTTCCCCGTTTTGCTTTTGTCTATTCTTGAATCGAGTATACCACATGCGTGGCCCATAGGCGCAATCGATACATTTTAGCAAGCTATTACCGTGAAATGACTGAATAGCCAGCTAGTGGAACGTATCGTCCATAACCAGAGCGTGCAGACGTCATTTTGAACAATCTTAACAAGTAACTCGGCATCTCCTAGCAGCTTTCTTCATGTCAAAAAGACTTCGCTCCGCAGCGCTGGCCCGGCGTAAAATCAATGAACGTTAACTGTGAACGCTTGGACAAAACTAAATCGCCGGGCTGATTACGCAATAGTTTAAATATAAATGTTACGGCAATACGGCGACATAAGGGCCATTCCACCGCTAAGCAATTGAAATAGCATCAGCAACTTAAAAATATTTCCGTATTTGCATAGTAGTGACATTTCCTTCATAGTAATTTGGTGTATCTGCAGTTCTAAGGACGAATATTTGTTTCGTAAGCGTGTTTTTTTAAGAACGTGACCAATCGCTACGTCTCTTGAAACTAAAGAACCATTGAACCAACTAGACAGAAGGTCGTAAGGGTATATGATTATAGACACGCGAAAAAGCTTTCGCTGACGACTCGCTAAAGCACGCTGTCGGGAATATCGCATGAGCACTGAGAAATGCTCTACACGGCGTTTCGCAAGAACCAAAACGCACGCATCCAACGTAGTCCAGTTTTCGTGAAAGCGCCCGCCGACACCAAATGCCTTGTCGGGACGAGCAATCTACGTGGCAGCATGGCTACGAAAGTATACCGCGAGAGACAGAAAGAAAAACTAAGTTATTTTTCATGCGCAGGCTATTACCAGGAGTGAGTTATATGCGGCACGAGACGTTCCGCGAGTGAGTCATGCATGCGTCCAGCTTGTGGCTGGATCCGTCGACAGCCAATATCTACAAATCGGCTAAGGGACCGAGGCAGACCACGAGGGAAGGGAAGCGAGCCTTCAATTACGCGCCACTCGGCTCCATCTCGCATAAATCTTGTTTGTACAAACTTCGAGCACGCGTGCAGCAGCGATAGAGACGTCCGTAACACGTCGTTTCGTTTATACCGAACGCGCTTTTCACCCGGACACGATATATGTGGTGCGGGGCTTGCGAGACGACGTTCTTACTGGCCAAGGACGCGATATTTTGAAGCACTGCAAGGCCATCGAATCAACAGGCGCCCATGGACCATCCGGCCCGTCAGTTCAGCGGCGTCCACATTTAAGCCGCCCTAATGACTGGCTCGACTAAAACAGCCGTAAACAGCCCTAAAGACTGGCTCGACTATAAATTGCTCCCCCTCCCCCATATCTATTTCATTAGAATGATACATCCTGACCTCTTTTTCTCTTACTTCCCCTCATGCAAAGCCAGCCACAATGTCAGTCAAATGGCACAGCGCACACGTTTGGCACCAAAGTGAAATAACACCGGCTCCATCGATCGATCAACCGATTGATTGATTGATTGATTGATTGATTGATTGATTGATGGGCTTCCATCAGACGTGTGACGGGAGGCGAAGGAAAAGGCCGTGGACGGCATGAGCGAGTCCGTCGTCCTCGTGTTGACAAATGAAACGGCAAAGGCAATTTTTTTCCCCCTTTACGTTGTCTTATACGTTTTACACTCTCTTCAAAGCCAGCGATTTCCCATGTTCAAAAGCTTACCATTCCCTGGGAACACAAGCTTTTATAATAGCATCCGCTTATACTGTCCTGCATGCTGTCCTCAAGATCATTTCGGGCTTGTCGAGTGCGTCGGTCGAGCTAGCTCAGAACATGGCTGCCTGGAATAAGGGATCTTCCCCATATAAACCCATAAATAGCTGCCAGAAGCATTCGGTCGGGCTCAGCAACCATGAACTGATTCTGATGGCCATGCCACTTGACAAGATACCTTTCATCTCTACCAATCGCGTGAAGTAACTATTACTACTATTTTTATTCTTTCCTGCTGCTTACCTTTCCCATACACAAACCTGTGGATTCACATCAAATGATTAGGCGGCTTGCGTGAGTATTAATAAAACGCACAGGCAGTAAGTAGGCACTGGCTTGCCCAAAAAACATAATATCCCGTTTCCGGTAATTTCTTGTAACGGCGATCTTCTTTTATATTTCTTTTTACTGCGTATACTTTGTTATACGGCAACTACGCAACCGAGTACGCAGTATTTTTTTTTTATGCAGTGTAAACTTTATCTTGGTCGGAAATTTCCAGGCAGCTTATCAATACAGCCGTATCTCGGCTCAGTGAAGCTGCAGTTCTTACGAAATCTGCAACATAACGAAGTGACTCCGCTTATCCCAACCCCAGCCTCCGATACCCCGCAAAAAAAAAAATGGAAAAAAAAGAAAACGACATAAACCTTGAATAATGCCGTGTAATCTGGAAACCCCGAAGCAGCGAGCCATTGCCTTTTGATGCCGTCTTCTCAACTTCGCGTCTCGCCCGATCAAAAGAAGTCTTCGAGGTAAATGTCACAAACACACGACGAAAATATGAGGCCACCGGTTTTCAGTTGAGCTGCTGGGGGGACACCCACGAAGAAGCGCGAAGTACGTTGTACGGGCTCCATAAAATAAGTCCGTAAGCGCGCAGGCAAATATTATTATTGTCACGAATTCTCGCGCTCGAACGAGAATGTACCGTCATTGTTTTCACGCGTGCTATAAATATTTTATACGTAATGACATGTCACCGTCAGATTTGTTCAGCGGAGGTTTAGCGGTATTTTCTCGACGTACATGATTGGGACGCTTTTTTTTTTTCCTCAATGAACCACCGGAATAAATGCCGAAAAAATACGAGCAAGTCGGGAAGGAAATCCGAGCAAGTCCTTTTTGTAAACTCTGTAAAAGGACCGCACGCCCAGTATGCAATGTCTTTTTTTCTCTTGTTTCTTTGATTTAAGCAGGGCTTTAAAAGAAGTACATCAAAAATTATACCTCCATAAACTTGTGAATGTTTACGCTGCGCGAGTGGGCCAACTATTAAAGATGATTAACCAACGAGTATTTGCCTCGTCCAAGCCTTACCTCCAAGTCGTGCAGCGAAGAAAAAAATATTGACGAAGTTTTTTGCTCTTTCGTCCTAACCTTTAAAACTAGCGTTAATGATGCGAATGTGATAACAACGCGCGTCACATTGTCGCATAAGGGTTACGATTCTTTGTGCGCTACACCTTTTGTTTTTTTGAAAAATAAAAGGATTTAAAAAATGCAGGGTTAAATCCCGAAGCGATGGCTCTCGGACTGACTACTCAATCGCAATAAGTATTTTAGCAGCTATGTACTAGATGAGAAATTTCACGACGTCCAATTAATTCGTTTCTTTCCGGTTCGTTACGCTCAAAAACGGATGAGCAAATTAATGCATATTAATTTCCCGGTGGTTCATTTTCATGTGACGCCGACTCGATGGCGGAAGGTGAAACACATACGCTAATATCCGGGCATGTCGCTAAAACTTACGAAAGCAAAATTGTCGGATGCATTCCACCAATTACCGAAATTATTACTACGTCTGCGCATGTGAACACACACAGGACCGGCAACAAGTTAAGATGTGTCAGACACTTAAAAGAAAGCATATACGTAGGACGACTTGTACAGATTTTTTTTTTTTTCATTATCGTGCGTGTCAAGGCTGTGCAGCGCAGCAAAACTATCGAGCTTGTATTTACGGAAAATTTCCTCCGCTTCGACTTACGAAACGGGCCTTCCCACAGAACACACAAAATGTTCAAATGCGACGACAAGAGGGAAGTTCCATTTTGGAAAGGCGAATCACTGGTCTCGCACGCATCACCGCACCTCCCATCTCGAGCAGCTGCAAAAACTAATTTCATTGCAACGCACAGCCACTGCATGCGTGCTCCGATGAGCTGCCTCACGAACGGAACCTGCACCGACTCGCACAGCTGCATTAATTCAACGTTCCATAAAATTAGAATCAACAGAACCGCCGGGAGGGGGGATCCCATTCCACCCAGCGGGTCTATCACGCGTCTAACACCGGCGTCATCCGAGGCACAAATATTCCCGCAGAGCGCGCGGAACAACACGGGCACTCGCAAGCGGTATAGAATTAACGCGAAAAGTACGAAACGAGCGCGATACGGGAGACGCGATACATGCGCTACGAAAAAAGAGAAAACAAAAACACAAACGAGCAACAGACAATCGGCTATTCTTTCTTCCAACACCACCACTCCGTCACCCAAGCCCGACAACGAAGCCGCTCTGCGCGGGGACGACGACCTCTGGGCGTCGGGCGACGACCATGCCTACCCCGCGTGCCGAGGGGAACCCAGCGGCGGCACACACGCGGTCCCCGGGAAAGCGAGAAAGGAACGGTCGAACTCGACGAGAGTAAAAACCGCGGCACGCGAGCGAGAAATCGCGTGAACTGCGGACAATTTACCTTTAGCGGCGCTTCCATGGCTATCATCTCGGGGCCCGCTCTTGGAAGCCGGCGCTGGCACCGACCGTTGTTTATCAGACTCTGACCGGGGGAGCACAAGGCGGCAGCGCTGCTGCTCGCGCACAACACGCACACACTCACGGACACGCACACGCTCGAGAGCCCGCACTTCGGTTTGCGCCCGCCCGCGGCACCGGGGGCTGAACCGCGGGAGCGAGGGAACGGCACACACACACAGACACACTTCCCACGGAGGATTCCGAGCCGAGGAAGGAAGCGGTGGTGATGATGATCACGACGCGGTCGCAGCAGACGAAAATCGAAAGCTCCCCCGACGGCACGCCTAGTTTGGTTTAGGTTGGTTCTTCACACGTACAAAGCAATCGCTGGAATGCCCCTCGTGACAGCGGCGGTAACGCACGTAAGGACGACTACCCGCCGTAGCGGAAAGAGACGGGAACACTACTGTCGCACACCGGAATCGTGGTTGGAGAGGCAGGGCGAAAGCTTTGGAACCGGATGAGAACGCGCCAACGTGGTGTAATATCCCCTCGATGTAGCTCGCCCGGTTTTTGTTTGTTACCCGGCCAGCAAGCGGACGTTCGGGCGGACCGTGAGCTGCACTGCCCCAGTTAAATTACACATCACGCAACTTCGTCAAGGCCGCGCTGTTTTTTTTAAATAACCTAACTCGCTTATATGTCAATTGAAATTTCGCGTCAGAGTCGTACACGTATTGTCGCGACATCTGTTACTGTCGACGTAAACTAATATATGCGCCAATCATGACACCTTAACAAAAGGTATTTCGTTATGTATATGATAGAAGGCGCTAAAGTATTTCAAGAAACACAAAAAAGTTTTCGAAATCGATCATTGGAGAACAGATGAAGTATCTTACTGGCGTCTTTCAAGCAAATGAGGGATAACAGCGCTTGCGAGGCCAGCGCCAGAATAGCGGTAGTGGAGACTGCGGGCAAAGGTTGCGGCGAGCGGCGCAGTACTCGGAAGTTGAGCGACAGAACTGTGATCGTGCAGGGCCGCGGAGGGCGCTCTTCCCCTCGCCTCCAGAGCGACCCCGACCTCGGGAGGCGTTGTTTTTCGCGCGCAGCAGCCAGCGATCATGCACGAAAAGCGACGCAGTTACTTTCTCTGGAGCCGAAAACAGCCCGCGTCACCCTGAAGGAGTACGCGCCCGCCCGCCGCATGCATTTACTAGACTTGCTGGCGAAGCTGCGCGCAAGAATTTCGCGAAAATAATGTACATTCTACCGATTCTACCGATACACTTTGGCGGCGGCAGCACGGTTTTACATGCGGTACTCGAGGCAACACTCTATAATACGTATCATAATATTCGTACAAATAAGGAAAGAAATCAAAGTTTCAAAGGCTCGTTTTTTTCTTAGACATAATATGAAAAGTATCAGACAACTCTACCAAGGAAAGTACAGGGGATGTCATTAATGATAAATGTACGGGAAATCTAAAGAAAGAAAAGTGGGTGATAAGATTAACTTTAGGCCCGTGTGCTCAGATTTGGGTGCACGTTAAAGAACCCCAGGTGGTCGAAATTTCCGGAGCCCTCCACTACGGCGTCTCTCATAATCAAGAAGTGGTTTTGGGACGTTAAACCCCACATATCAATCAATCAAGATTAACTTTCCTTTCGTTCACTTTTCTTTCTTCACATTTGCATTAGATTTACTACTAATAACATTCTCTGTACTTTCCTTGCCAGTGTTGTTTGTTACTTTTCATGACCAATATTCCTGAAATGTTCAAATTATGATTTCTGCAAATGTTAGTCTTCAGCAAACTTATTACGCACTAGTAACAACTTTACAAGAGCTAGATGGTTCCCAATAAATGTAAGCTATAAAACAGCGCGATCTGAAATATGACCACAGAAGAACGAATACCATGGAACAGGTGCCGGATGCCAATCGAATGTTTATTACCAGAAAACCAGTCTTTCATGCGGCCTTATAGAAAACAAGCGCATACCAACCAACCGCAGTCTTTCAAGAAGGTTTTTTTTTTATTATTAATGTCTTCGTTCCTTTGTTGTCCAGGTTTACTGAAATTTGGGGATTTGCGGCCTGCAGCAGCCATGGCTAAGTCCTCGTTTTGATTGTTCTAGGTTCCTGCCTCGTGTTCCTTTTGCTGCCTGGTCGCACACCGTCACCGAGGATTGGCACTGATTCATCCTTTCTGCGCCGTCACCACTCAAGAATGACGTCATCCTCCCGCTGACGTCATAACGAATGTAGCGCCACCGGACACTACATAAAGACGCTGCCCACAGCTATTAGGATTTGCGGCCTGCAGCAGCCATGGCTAAGTCCTCGTTTTGATTGTTCTAGGTAGGCATTTAGCCTTGCCCTCTTTACAGAACTGTATTTTTTGCATACTGCTGGCCGCTGATCCCCACTATTCTTTGTTGTGTTCTGTATCCTGAGCACTAGTATGGGTGTTGTGTCTACATACCGGGCACGCATCGGGTCGTTTGTGTCTTGCCGTAAGAACACAAGTTACCCTAGAGCTCGCTTCAATGGCGCGTCTAACTTGTTCCGCTTCGCTAGCCCGAGACCATGTGTTTTGTTGGTGAGCACGTGCCTTTCTTTGCTCCTACTCTGTGCTGGTGACGTGGAAGTGAACCCTGGTCCGAAGATTGATGACGTTCTAGCTTTGATGAAAGATTTTCATGAAGAAACTACAGCTACACTGACAGAAATAAAACAACATCGCAGGCATTAATGCTAAAATTCATGAAATTGAGACAGGTCTGCAAAAGATGTCGCAAATTGAGTCAACGTGCGAAGATGTAGGTGATTCAGTACGTGAAGTAAAATCAAGCATATCAACAGTACATGAAGATCTCGTTGATGTAGTAGACGATATAAATAACAGGATGAGGCGGAACAACCTCATCGTTAAAGGCCTTCCCGAGACCGACAAAGAAGACTACGAGGAAACAAAAAAAATTGTTAAAGAATTTTTTTCCGCGCACCTTGAGTTACAAGTTGGTGACATTGAACGCACCCATCGCGTCGGTAAGCGCGCCCGCATTTTGATCGACCCATTATAATAGAAGTTCTAAACTTTAAGTCCAAAACCGAGGTCTTGCGCTATGCCCCGAAACTGAAAAACTTAGATTTTCCCAAGGTTTGGATTAACGAAGATTTCTCGCCGAAGGTGCAGATGGTCCGTAAACGGTTGAGGGATTTTGCAAAGCTTAAGCGCAAAGGAAGCGAGCCTTATTCGGTTCGCTTTAACTGTTTGTACATTTGGGACCGCGTTTTTCAATACAACTTTGTCACTGATAGCGTTGTCGAAGAAACTCCCAGACAGGAATTCACGCCCCATGCAATGAAACCCCAAGGCAGTTAGTTCTCTTAATGAAGTCTCTCCGCACCAACCTCTCGCTGATTGACAAACTACCTCTTCTAATCGAAACTCCACCTACAAATCTGAAGTAACGTTGCTCTTAATAAATTTTAGGAGCCTTTTAAATAAGCTAGACACCCTAAATTTCTTCTTGTACACATGTTCCGCCGACATTTTGATCGGTACGGAAACGTGGCTGTCGGCCGACATTTCGAACTCTGAACTTAACTTTCCTGCACAGTTTACAGTTTTTCGCAAAGACAGATCGGTATCTAAAGGAGGAGGAGTAATTATAGCTGTTAAACAAGAATTCCAACCGTCAGATATCGCTTACGACTCGTCCATCGAAGCAATTTGGGTTACTGCGCAGTCAGCTCACACCACCGTAATTATCGGTGCCTGCTACCGACCCCCCCGATAGCGGTCCAGAGTTCGTCGACTTGCTGAATGATTCACTCGAGTATGTGCATGCCCATTATCCAAATTCTGTTCTTATTCTCGGCGGCGACTTTAACTACCCAGGCATAGATTGGGCATCTTCTTCTGTCAGCAGTAACAGCTCCCACCGTCACGAATGCTTGCGTTTTCTACATTTGACACACGTCCACCTCATGACCCAGTTAGTAACAGAACCTACACGTGGCGATAACATTTTAGATTTACTTTTCACTAATAATTCCCAGGAAGCTCTTACCCACGTGCTTGAAGAAATTAGCGACCACAGAGTTGTCCATTGTTCACTATATCTACCACGCGCCGACAAATCAAAGGTAACTAAGCAGTTATTGAATTACGCACGTGCTGACATCGATAAGATGAACCGTATGTTAGATGATTTTATACCAATATTTGAGTCAAGTTTTGAACATCGCGCTGCAAACGAAAATTGGCTTCAATTCCGTGACACACTAAAAAAATAGAAGAATGCTGCGTCCCGAAACTAACAATCAGCACCAAAACAAATGACCCGTGATTCACACGCGATGTAAAAAGATGCCTAAATAGGAAGAAACGAGCTTTTAAAAGGGCTACACGAACTAATACTCCGGAAGATTGGCTTAATTATAAAAATCTTTCAAAACAAGCTGAGGCCTCAATAAAAGAGGCCAAGGAGAAATATTTTAACTGCACCTTACCTAACCTTTTGAAAACAGACCCCCAGAAATTCTGGCGCGTGGTGAACCCTACAGCCTACCCTTCTGAGCCAACTTTACTGAGTGATCAAGGCAAAGCGTTGTCGCCAGAGGAAAGTGCTGAATGCTTCAACGAATTTTTTGCATCTGTGTTCACGGAAGAACTTCCACTAGACTCACTGGCACTGTTAAAACCTACCATTCACGACCCTTTTTCTTCAATTACAATAACTGAAAATGGTGTCGCACAAGCTGTACAACGCCATCCTCGCAAGACTAGCCCGGGGCCCGACGGAATTAGTGCTAAACTCCTAAAATTAACCTGCCACAGATCAGCGTATTTATTGTCGCTGATCTTTCAGCAGTCGCTTGACACGGGCTGTGTACCAGAAGACTGGAAATATGTCTTTGTTAAACCCATATACAAATCCGGCCAAAAGTCAAGTCCGAACAACTACCGTCCAATCTCTCTAACCTGTATATCTTGCAAGCTATTAGAACATATCATTTACTCGAAAATTATATCTCACTTGAACAGAAACAACATACGGCTTTCGGGAAAAACGCTCTTGCAACACCCAACTATTCGAATTGTTGACAGACTTGCACAAATCCATGCACAGCTCTGCTCCTACAGATGCTATTTTTATAGACCTTTCAAAGGCTTTTGATCGCGTCCAACATAACCGATTAATAACTAAAGTCCGTAACCTCCAGCTTGATCAGAAAACAATCTGATGGATTCAAGAGTTCTTCTGTAACCGGTCGCAATCGGTCAAACTTAACCACATAATTTTCAGAAAGTGCATGGTAAAATCCGGTGTCCCCCAGGGCTTCGTGCTCGGACCATTATTATTTTTGGTCTACATCAATGACATTGGATCTAATATTGTTTATTCTCTACGCCTATTCGCAGATGATTGCGTTATATATAAGGAGATTACCGAACCG